GGCCCCAATGGCAGAAACTGAAGAGGAAGGAAGTCCCCATCTAGTACATTGTCCAGAGGTGGCAAACGTATGCATCTCTCTAGATGGATCCCTCGCTGGCGTGGGTGATGAGTTGGCCGCTCGTCGCCAAGCCTGGACTGAAATGCGGAAAAAGAAAGGACAACTCATAATTGCAGATCTGGAAATAAATCGAGTTAGAGTAGGAGGTATGATAGATAGCGGGTCTACACGCAGTTATATTAGTAAAAGAGGTTTGCAAAAACTGCGTCTTGGGCTTAAAGTTAAGAAGTTAGATGAGCCCATTATAAGTAAGTTGGCGAATAGTAGTGAAACTATCATGGATTGATACATCGAGGGAGTACAAGTATACTTTCGGCTAGAGGCAGAGGGGAAGGTGGAACGCGTTCTCCACTCTCTGACCTTCTTGGTGGAGGATAACTTGCCCTTTGATGTTTTGCTAGGAATGGATTGGGGTGAGGCTGCACATGCGAATCTAAAGTTAAGGGAACATGAATGTTGGCTCCCAAGTCCGCAAGTAGGTAAGAAAAAGATTCGCCTCTACCATGAATCAGGAAAAGAAAGCAGCCTAGTTCACTATTGTATAAGTGCCCCAGCGTTCGCTCGCCATGTTAAGAAACATAACTTGTATGACCAAGTCTTTGTTGCATATGTGCGCCCAGTAAAGGAAGGATAAACAAGGGAAGAAGTCACGTCCCAAGAGATTGAAAGGATCCTGAAAGAATTCGCTGATGAGGCTGAAGCCCCAAGCGGTGTGGAGGAAAGACCAATCCGCCACCGCATTGATATCATTACAGGGAGCGCGCCCCCGAAGGGGCCTATCTATCGCATGTTGCCCCAAAAATTAGATGAACTGCGAACCCAACTCGATGAGTTGTTGAAAAATGGTTGGATAAGACCTAGCTCCTCACCCTATGGTGCGCATGTGCTCTTTGTACCTAAAAAGGACGGCGGCGTTCGCATTTGTATAAATTATAGGAGGTTAAATGACATAACAGTGAAAAATGGTGAACCATTACCGCCATCTCGAAGATTTGTTGGATCGCGTGCAGGGAAGCAAAGTGTTCTCGAAGATTGATCTAAAATCCGGCTACCATCAGATTGAGGTTGAGCCGGAAGACCAACATAAGACTGCCTTCAGGACGAGGTATGAGCATTACGAGTTCGTAATTCTGCCCTTTGGTCTCACAAATGCCCCTGCCACTTTCCAAAGAACAATGAACGAACTATTTCGTGAGTGGCTCGATAAATTTGTTGTGATTTATTTAGACGATATTTTGATTTTCAGCAAAAATGATAAGGAGCATGCTGAGCACCTTCGACTTGTGCTAAATAAATTGAGAGAAGCAAAACTCAAGTTAAACCCAAAGAAGTGTGAGTGGGCCAAGCGTCAGGTGCTATACCTAGGACATGTGATTGATGGAGATGGGGTCAAACCGGAAGATGCAAAGATAGCAGCAATCAGAGATTGGCCGAACCCCCGCACCTTGACTGAGTTGYGGTCGTTCCTTGGGTTAGCCAACTACTATCGAAAGTTCGTAAGACACTTTACGATAATAGTTGCTCCCCTTCGCCGATTGCTTAAGAAAGAAGTAATTTGGAAGTGGGATTCAGACTGCACTATGTCATTCAAGCGTCTGGAAAAGTGTTTGATCAACTACCCGGTTTTGAAAGTAGCGGACCCTTCCTTGCCTTTCGTGGTCACGACCGACGCTAGTCAATATGGTATAGGTGTTGTACTCCAGCAAGATGATGGGCATGGATACAAACCTGTAGAGTTTATGTCTTGCCGCTTACCTAACGAGAAGGTGGCCTCTTCAACGTATGAACGAGAGTTGTACGCTTTGCGTGAGGCTCTCAATCATTGGAGACACTACCTTCGAGGAAGGCATTTTAAAGTATACTCTAACCATGAAACACTTTGCTGGCTCAAAACGCAAGCTCGAATGACACCTAAGTTGACAAGGTGGGCTGCAAAAATTGATATGTTTGACTTTGAGCTGAAGCAAGTCAAGGGTAAGTATAACGTTGTTGATGATGCACTAAGTCGTAGATCAGACTTTTTCGGTGCTATCGTGACTTATCTAGATATAGGTGCAGACCTGCAAGAAAATATTAGAAATGCGTATCCCTCTGATTCTGTTTATGGAGCCATGATTAAGCTAGTGCAAGAAAAGCCAGCAAAGTTTCCCGATCATAAAGTAACTCAGGGTTTATTGTTTGAACGAACTGATGTACATGATAGGCTGTGTATACCCAATAATGAAGAAATCAGGAGTATGATTTTGGGGGAATGCCATGATACAGAAGGCCATTTCGGGTGGAAAAAGACTTATGGGACTTTATTGCGTTCCTACACCTGGCCTCGAATGAAAGCGGACTGTATCGCGTATGTGCAAGGTTGCCAAGTGTGTCAACGAAACAAAGGCACCACGCAATCGCCCCTCGGGCTACTTAAGCCCTTGCCTATCCCTACCGGCCCTGGAGACTCTGTCTCTATAGATTTCATGGATACAAAGGTGAAGAGCAAAAATGGGAAAACACAAGTAATGGTCATAGTGGGTAGATTCACGAAGTATGCTGTTTTTGTAGCTTTGCCTGCGAAAGCAAAGACTGAATTGGTAATTCGGGAATTCTTTAACCATTGGGTAAAGGACTTTGGACATCCCTTAACTATTGCGAGGGACAGAGATACCAGGTTCACAAGTGAACAATGGCAGCAGCTGATGAATGTATATGGCTCTAAGTTGCCTATGTCATCAGGCAGACATCCTGAAACTAATGGCCAGACTGAGCAGATGAACAAGATATTGCAGCAAACTCTGGGCATGTACATTCGTCCCGATCAGATTGACTGGGATGAACATCTGCCTAAGGTTGCTAGTGCCTATAATAACTCTGTGCACCTATCTACGTGTAAGACTCCTATGGAGTTACATCTGGGATGGCGTCCACGCAGACCCATTGATCGATTGAACCCGGATCAAGTGCATAAGCTTCCTGTAGGGACTAATGAGTTTGCAGTCCAATATCAGAAAGACATTGAGAAAGTAAAAGAAAATATACTTAAAGCACAACATCAAATGATTGAACAGGCAAATAAACATAGACGCCCATCTCAATTTGCTATAGGAGATTTGGTCTGGGTGAAGTCTAAAGAGTTTGCTCCCGAAGAGAACATCTCTCAGAAGCTTCTACCCACCTACCGAGGACCTTGGCAGGTTCTAGACATAATTGGAGATGTGGATGGTCCTTCGTATGTCATTGAGATTCCTCCTCATCTACGTACATATCCAGTGTTCCATGCATCCAAGCTCTTACCTCGTGTGACAAATGAGCTCTTCCCAAGTCGCCGATCAGCGATACCTCCAAGTATGGATGGGAAGTATGACGTGGATAAAATTGTTGCGGAAAGTACTTACCACACTGGACGTAGGGGCAGACCACAGCGACAGTATAAAGTGAGGTTTGCATACCAGGATCTTAGTGAAGATCGCTGGTTTACAAGAGAAGAACTGTTAGATTCTGCACCTCATATTGTGTCTGCATACGAAAACGCAAAGAGAGGAATTCATATCCTTGATAAGTAAGTGATTCTCAGAGGACTTCAAATTTAGGCCAGCGAGAGTAAAAGGGCCTTTACCCGATATAGGCCTCAGGCCTTGTAAAAGTAAAGCATTGTGAAAAGGTATCTCGCCAGGGCTCAGAAACGTGAAAGCAGGTCAAAGGTCAAGTTCTCTGTCAACAGGCACATCTAAATCTAAGGCAAAAGGGCATTGTCAAAAGACTTACCTGTTCACCANAAACGTGAAAGCAGGTCAAAGGTCAAGTTCTCTGTCAACAGGCACATCTAAATCTAAGGCAAAAGGGCATTGTCAAAAGACTTACCTGTTCACCAGGAGATGTGTATGTCATGTCTGTTCGGGTAAGAGTGTGTCTGTACGCGCAGGCAATGTACCTGTTTGTGCAAGGAAAGTGTCTGTTCAAGCAGTAAATGTGTCTGTTCGTTGAGAGTTGTGCCTGCCCGAAAGTAAAGTCAATAGGCACAGTCCCAGTTCTGGTCTAAGTCAAGAGGTCAGTCCAGATCCAGACTTTCAAGTCCAAATCCGGGCCGAAGTGCCTCAGCAGCAATTGAACCTCATTGGGGCTATACTGGGACACATGCAATGCAGGGTCTGGGACAAGGAAAGAGGCTGAGTTGAGCCCATGCAGACCCAGCGAGGAGTGGCCAGCATTATAAAAGAAGCTGCCAGCCTCATTCCTCGCCAGATCTCCACTGGCTTGAATACGTGGAAGTGCTGGTGCACTTGTGCGTTGGTCAGTAGGAGTAGCGCYGGAGGAAGGAAGATGCGCTAAGAGGGAAGGARAAGACTGTGCGCTGGAAGGGATGCAGCCATAGCTGCCCAGCGAGTTAGTAAGTAGAGTAGAAGGGTTAGTACTTAGCTATGAGTAGTATTCAGAGTARATCCTCATGAGTAGAGAATGTGAATGCATCGTAAGAGGAAGGGACTKAGATATAGAGTGTTCATTSGAGSTTTGGCTATGGGAGACACTTACCTGAGTTGTTGTGAACTGCAGAGGTGGCGCCGATGAGTTGTGACCAGATTGATGACTGGGAGACAATCTGCAGGGGTAGCGCTGATACCTTGGAAGTCATATTGATGAGTTGAACAGAGATTTGTGTTGCGCTGATGAGCGCTGGACTCGGGGGAACTTTGAAACACTTTGTAATCATATTTCTGATAATATAAGCTGTGAAACTCGGTCCTCTTCTTCTCTACCTTTGTCTATGGTTGAGACTGTTGATCACTGCGTGTGAAGATGATGCATGGCATATACACATCTGTGTGAGATGGTCCCCAGGACCCATGCACTGGGGACTCCAGTTCCCCCCAGTGCTGCACCTTCATCTGCTCAGATAGGTGAATCTGCAGTTGTTTCTGTTGAGACTGTATGTGAGTGTTTGGGGACTGCGCGGGCAGCATCCTTTTGCTATGAGGATCCTGACCTGGATCAGGACCCGGGGCAGGATGAGCTTCAGTCACTTGCTGCTTTCTTCCTTCATCTGAAGGAACAGAAGAAAAGCAAGTATCCTACTTCGGCCCCTGATCAACCACATCAGGATCAAAGGGTTGTTGGATTGTGGAGCCACCAGGAACTTCATATCTCCCAGTGCTGTAAAGAAACTGCATCTGGGTATGAAAGTTCAACAGCTGCAGCAACCTCTGTTGGTCAGAATAGGTGACTCCACAGTACTCACCATCAGAGAGAAGGTCAGGGGTATCCCTGTTACCTTCGACAGTGCTGGAGAAGTCAGACACAGTCTGAACTTCTACATATTCCCTGATCTACCCTTTGACCTGATGTTCTCTATGCAGTGGCTGAAGGCAGTCAACCCAAGGATCGACTGGCAGATCCCAAAGGTTGAACTACCTAACAGACAAGGGGTGTATCAGCCATGCATGATTGCTGTTGAACACCACCCTAAGACCAGTTGCTACTGTTTGAGATCAAGGGAGTTCTATGCGCTCTCCCGCCAGTATGGCCATGAGCGCCTGTTCTTGGCTCTGGTAAAGCAGGCAGACGCTCGTACTGTTTCCTGTCCTCCTGAGATACAGCAGGTGGTAGACCGGTATGCTGATCTGATGCAGGAGCCCTTTGGGTTACCCAACCGGCCAACCAAGCATCGCATCGAGCTGTTACCTGGAGCGGTTCCTCCCAAGGGCCGCATCTACAGGATGTCCTCTGCTGAGCTTGAGGAGCTGAGAAAGCAGCTTGAGACCCTGACCAGCAAAGGCTGTGTATGGCCGAGCACTTCTGAATTTGGGGCACCAGCCCTCTTCGTCACGAAAGAGAATGGAGAATTCAGAATGTGCATCGACTACAGGGGTCTCCCCAGCCCTCTTCGTCACGAAAGAGAATGGAGAATTCAGAATGTGCATCGACTACAGGGGTCTCAACAAGATCACTAGGAAGATTACAGAGCCACTTCCTAGGATCGATGATCTTCTGGATATGGTGCAGGGCTGCACAGTGTTCAACAAAGTCGACCTCAAATCTGGCTATCACCAGATTGAGATGGCAGAGGAGGATGTCTATAAGACAACCTTCAAGACCTGGTATGGTACTTACGAGTTCCTGGTCATGCCATTTGGACTTTGCAATGCCCCAGGTACATTCCAGACAGAGATGCACTGCATCTTCAAGCCTTATCTGTACAAGTTCATGGTTGTCTACCTGGATGGCATCCTGGTATTCAACAGAGCTGCCACGGAACATGCGGAGCACTTGGCTCTTGTCCTTCAGTCATTACGTGACAACCAATATAAGATTAACAGAGAGGTCTTTTTTTGGAGTTCCCTCTGTCATCTATCTGGGTCATGTAATCTCTGGAGATGGCCTGACTCCCGAAGCAGCCAAGATAGCTGCTATTCAGGAGTGGCCACAACCACAGACAGTGAGGGATGTCAGGTCATTTATGGGTTTAGCCTCCTACTACAGAAAGTTTGTCAGGAACTTCTCTGCAGTGGCTGCACCCCTGGCCAACGTAACAAAGAAAGACACTCCATTTCTTTGGTCCCCTCCCTGTCAGTTGGCCTTCACACGACTCAAGAAGGCCTTGACTCGTGAACCTGTGCTGAAGCTACCTGACCCCACTCTGCCATTTATCCTGACCACTAACGCTAGTCAGTATGGCGTTGGGGCAGTTCTTTAGCAGGATGATGGGAATGGTCTACGACCAGTAGAGTTCATGAGTAAGAAGATCAAGACTCAGAAGCTTCAGGACTCTACCTACGAGAAAGAGCTGTATGCTCTTGTCTGTGCCCTGAAACATTGGAAGCACTTTCTCCTGGGAAGACACTTCAAGATCTTCTCAGATCACTCCACCTTGCAGTGGATGAAGTCCCAGGGAGAATTGAATGATAAGCTGACACACTACATTCAGTTCATAGACATGTTACTTTGAACTGAAACACAAGAAGGGTTGTTACAACAAAGTAGCGGATGCCCTCTCTCGTAGGCCTGACTCTTTTGCATTGATCTCCTCCACTCACTCCTTTGGAGAGCAGACCCGTTAGACCAATACTCGTTTTCTGCCTTAGGACCCGACTTTTGGGCCCATAGTGAGGAATCTGCATGTGGAACCCAATACCAAACCCGACTATGCCCTGAGTTCAGACTTGTTGTATACCTACAACAGAGGTGAGGAGCGCTTGTGCATTCCTCAGGATCAGCGGCTCAGGACACTGCTAATGTCAGAGTGTCATGATGCCCGTGGACACTTTGGGTTCTTAAAGTCGTATGCAGCCCTGTCGCAACGCTTCTTCTGGAAGTAGATGCGGAGTGATATGCTGCGTTATGTGGAAACCTGTGAGCTTTGCCGGAGGAACAAGGTCCAGCGTAGCCCTCCTCTGGGACTACTCAAACCCTTACCCATAACTGATGGCCTTGTTGAATCTGTGTCGATTGACTTCACAGATTTCGGCAAGACCACCCCTCGAGGCATGCGTCAGGTTATGGTCTGCGTGGACAGGTTCTCCAAATACGCAGAGTTCATCCCCTTGCCAGAGGCAGCTAGAGTCCCGGCTGTGAGAGCAGCCTTTTCAGAGAGGTGGGTCACACACCATGGACCGCCCACTTTTATAGTGAGTGATAGAGACCCCCGATTTTGCAGCGATGAGTGGCAGTCCTACTGTAAGGACTACATGCACTCACGATTGGACATGACTTTTGGTCATCATCCTGAAGCCAATGGTCAGGCTGAAGTGATGAACCAAGTCCTATTCCAATTGCTGCGTCCTGTCATCTCTCCAGATCAACACGACTGGGATCTCCACTTGGCTCGAGCACAACTTGTTTATAACATGTTTGTCCATTCCCCGACTAGGTTCAGTCCATACCGGTTACACTGGGGACGTGAACCACGACAGCCTCTCGATGATATCATCAATACGGCCAAGTCAAACCTGATGCCAGGCACCGCAAAGTTCACCAGACGCTACCGCATAGATATGGAAAGAACACGGGCGAACTTGTTCAAAGCCCAAAAGGCAACGATTGAACAAGCTAATCGTCACAGGCGGCCTTCCCCCATCCGCACTGGTGATTATGTCTGGGTAGCCAGTTATGAGTTGTCGAGGGAGGAGGATATCTCCCCCAAGCTGTTGCCTCGTTACTTGGGTCCATGGCAGGTCTTATAGATACAGTGGGCGCTGATCCATTCGGTCCATCCTATGTCATCGACGTCCCGCTGCATGTACGAATCTACCCCGTCTTCCATGCATCTAAGCTGCTTCCATTCACTCCAGCTGATGCATTCCCGGACCGGCCTCCTCAATTTGGTCCACCGTGATGCATTCCCGGACCGGCCTCCTCAATTTGGTCCACCGATCCCTGGCAAGGGATATGACGTGGAATGGATTGAGGATGAGTGGGGCACAAGCCCCGATCGGCAGTATCTTGTGAGGTTCGCATTCCAGCCTCCTTCTGAGAACAGATGGTTCTACAGAAGGGAACTTCTCAAGACAACAAAGTCAGTTGTTTTACTATATGAAGCGGCTCAGAAGGGCAACCTTCCTCGCCGTTCACCTCATCTGCATCCCTAGCTCGGAGGTCCTCGGTCCCCGGGGGATAAGCCTGCAATGA